TTTTTTTTTTTTTTTTTTTTGTATTGGACAAATGACCTGCATTGACCTTTTGTATGAATTTGCTTTATTTGGAAATATAATTCCGGTTGAATTAGGTATTCTTTCACTTTAAGATATCTTCCCTAACCATATGACATAATTGCATTGTGTTGATTGGATTCAGGAAGAATTTTCGTGTAATTAATTTAAGATTTAATCATGATGAATACTATCATCTGAATTATTTTTGTAATAGCGATGTCTTCAATGTCTTTTTTTTGCTTTAAAGTGAGTTTTCGAAATTATTGGCAAACCCAATTCATTCCAAATATTGATTTAAATTTTATCTTGGATACATCTGAAAGCGGACATTGTAAATCATTGAAAATCTACTAAGTTTAAGATAACAAGATAAATCTTATATGATGATGGTGATGAGAATTTTAATGAAATTTAATTGGTAGTAACAACAACAACAACAACAACAACAACAACAACAACAGTAACAACAATAACAACGGTAACAACAATAACAACGGTAACAACAATAATAATAATAATAACAAATACTAATAACAGTAATATTTAACATTTCTATTTACAACTCTGGCAAGCAATTGATATATTAATTTTGAAACACTTTTCTAGAATGATTAAAGGAATGGATCGAATTACAAGAATTTTCCTAAAGTTCTTCAAATAAAATCAGATTTGATGCATTCACATTTAGCTATATATTTCGACTATTTCATAAGTATATTGCATAAAATATGTAAATTATGCAGAAAGTTATAGTAATCGAATGGGCTAATATTACATTGTTGCAGATATTCATTGCTTTTCTTTCCCGTTCAATCCATTCTTCCGGTATAAATTCCTTGCTGAAATATTCCATCTTGTTAACTTTTCTGAACTATTCCCAACTTTTGTTTTTAATCCAAAAAAAAAACCGAAGATATGATATGTGATAATTCGTAATAAATTTCATAGCAATATACTTTTTTTGAAATTTAAAAATGGATTGATTTCAGTTTTTGAAATTTTTTAAGAAATTTTCGTCAAAATTAAATTTTTATCCTATCAATGTGCATATTATTTGTAATGTGATGTAGATATATGCTTACTTCTTCAAATTTCACTTTTATCTTAAAAACTTGAAATCTTTACTTTTTTTTTCTCTCTCTCCAACTTCCGCTTCATATTCATTCATGCAAATTCATTTTGTCAAATAAATAAGCAAAACATTTGCAATTGTTCGAGAATATTCGTTAAATGATGCATAAAGGGAAGAAGAAATTGTTTGTTTGTCAAAATGCGCACAATTTTTTGGTTACTATAGCATGCATTTGATTATGGTCGATCTAATTGAGGTATTTTCTGTTACAAATTATAGGCTTAATTTAGGATTGAGAAAGGGAATATTTCACTGATTCCCTTTTTTTCCCCCCCCCCTTACCTTTCCATTTGGTATAAATTGGACTTGAAAATTGAACATTTAAAAAAAAAGAAAGAAAAAAAGACGAAAGAAAGTGGAAAGAGTGTTTCGGTTGATGATGTTGTTTGCATAATAGTTCATTGTATATCATTTGATATCAATAATGCTATCAATTACAAATTTATCATATCATTTTAAATCAATTAACAATACTTGTTACGTCAAAGTATGCACGTGATTTCTTCTGGATATATATATATATATATATATATATATGTATACGATATATGTTATCAAATTTGTACATTCAATAATTATTCTATTATATAGTTCAGTAAATTGTAATTAATAATAGGATATACTTTTATCTTCATATCCCTTTCATGATATTAGGTTGATATTTTAGAATGAATTTTAAAAAGTAACCACTGTCCATAGAATGACCAAAAGAAGGTTATCCATTGTATGAGCGAATAATATGTATGATTAAATTATTTGTTAGATAAAAGGAAAACCGTAGTAATTACAATTAGTTCTTTTTCCATTCTCTCTAAATAATGCATCGGATAAGGATTACGGTAAATGAACCATGGAATTTAGGCAAGAGGAATTTGTTACTGTCGCTATTTCTATTAATACTACTACTACTACCACTACTACTACTATTACTACTATTACTACTACTATTACTGTTACTACTACTACTACTATTGCTGCTGCTGCTATTACTATTACTATTAACTGCTATTGCCACAAATACTACTGTTAATACTATCTGGGTTATTAGCAATAGATAGGATGGACAATTTACTCTTTTATCATTATGTATCTCATCCTCTCTATCTCTTTCTCCTATTTTCCCATAATTTCCCACCAACCCTATTATGAATCTCATCATTCCTCGTCAATCAAATCCATCCGTTCCATGTTAGCCGTTAATAAAGGAGCAATTTACCGGAGCATTTAATCCGATAATTTGAGTTAATGAGTGATTGAGTTTCTGCAGCATGCAATGCATCATTGCCACTGTGGATGATATAAAAGTTGCTTGTCATTTGAGCTATAATGCGTGCTAATGACACCTCGGAATATTTGATTTCCAATTCCGATGAATGATAGCAATGTAGAAGACCGGTTCCGTTTTTCGGGAACAACAAGAAGATATGATTCATTTGGTAGATGATTTATCTTGCTTTTAAATTCTCTTCTCTTCCTGCTACATTGTCTCTAAATTATCGAATGAGAAAGATTTTACATTTTCAGCTATTTATTCAGCCGATGATATGTTTGTATTATTTTCTAGAACAATTAAATTAACAAAAAAAAAAAAAAAAAAATTGCAGATGCAAAAAAGAGGAAAAAAACAATTCCGCCTTATGGGATGATTCAGCAATAATAACTTTAAAATTTCAAGCAATGGAAATGTAAAAATTCCATCCACATGAATTGAAGGCGGTGTTTGATTGAAAGCGATGAAATGTGTACGGAATTGAAGAAAGCTAGCCAGCTAGCTAGCTAGCTACCTAACTGGTTAGCTAGCTAGCTAACCGTGGCATTGATGATAGTTGTTCGATTTGCGCCAATGATATGATTGCTAGCAACATTGATCATTTCTGATCTGGTCAAAATAAATTATTTCATAGGGATAGCAAAGAAAAAATGTCTGTAATGATTTTTTTTTTGCTACTGACATTAAAGAAATGATTATACTTAAGAAGATCATACCTTCATCAAAATTCTCCATTTTTGGGACTTTTATTTCTGGCGCATTCATCAATAAAATGCGTTAGCAATAGACCAAAATAAAAGACGAAGAAAGAAATAAATCGAAAATAATAATAACAATAATAATAATAACAATAACAATAGTCAACAATAATGATGATATCAATAATAATAATAACAATTATAATAATAATAATAATAATAGTAGCAATAATAATAATAATAATAACAATAATAATAATAATAATAATGATAATAATAATAATAATAATAATAATAATAATAATAATAATAATAATAATAATAATGAATAATAATAATAATAGTAATAATAATAATAATGATAATAATAATAATAACAATAATAATAATAATAATAATAATAATAATAATAATAATAATAATAATAATAATAATAATAATAAAATAA